AGAGAAGCAACCTGAAATTAAGGAGAAACTTCCTAACAGTGAGGACAATTAACCAGTGGAACAGCTTTGCCTTCAGAAGTTGTGGGTGCTTCATAACGGGGGGCTTTTAGGAACAGACTAGACCGGGGGTAGGCAACCTTGGCTCTTTTATGACTCGTGGACTTCAACTCCCAGAATTCCTGAGCCAGCATGGCTCAGCATGGAAACCTCTCCCTTTCCCCTCAGCATGGCTGGCTCAGGAATTCTGGGAGTTGAAGTCCGCCAGTCATAAAAGAGCCAAGGTTGCCTACCCCTGGACTAGAAACTCACCTGTCTGAAAGTCTCCTGCTTGAGCAGGGGGTTGGACTAGAAGACCTCCAAGGTCCCTTCCAGCTCTATTTTCATTGGCTGATTATTTAATTTTTCAACTACAGGTAGATCTCACTTACCAATCTCCTCATTTAATGACCGTTCAGTTGCAATTGTAACCGCCCCCCCAAATAACTTTGCAATCAATTCTCACATTTACAGCCTCTCCTTGGTCTGTAAAGCCAAGGAAAGGTGAAGTCATTTTGTGAGCACAGTTGTGGTTTCACTTAGCAACCAGTTTACTTAACGACTTGGTTGCAGGTCTTCATTGTGGTCACTAAATGAGGACTATCTGTAAAAAAAATTCTTTAAGGGGCAGGCATCCCGAGGGAGTTTAGGAGAAAGATATCGAATAAGAAAAATCAGAAAATTCATCCTACCCGACGGTCTCTGCTAAATCTTTCGTCCGAATCCCTGTCCAGTTGCTCTGGCTCCCCAGCTCTTCCTTCCCTGTGTAAGGGTAAATCCGCTCCCGCTGCTGACGGTCCCGCTGAATTCGTAGCTCTGCCCGCGTAGCGACGACCAGGGAACGCAGGAGCTCCGCCACGCTCTCCCGGGAAAGCAGGACCACCAGCGCCAACGCGGACTCTGCCGGTGGAACAGAAGAGGCGCAGTCCCCACCATCCCAACCACAGGATGCCGAGCGGCAGCCTCTGTCGCAGTGTCCGTCCGAGAAGCGGTCCCAACAATATCGCGCGTAGGAAGGGCTGAGGAGAAGGGGTCCTTAATGGGGCACGCACTGGGCAAAGGCAGACATACATCCTTTCCATTCCCTCCTCTACAACCCGGGAAGGGGGCAGTGGGGGCTGCAGGACAGGAGCTGGGGTGTTGGTGGTCTGGGACCCCCCCCTCCGTAGAAGGATCAGGAAGAACCCCCCCAACACAGTTAGCCCTTGACTTACAACCACAGTGGAGCCCAACATTCCCACTGTTCAGCAAGACACCCAAAGGGATTGTACCCCGTTTTACTATCTGTTTTGGCCACCGTTGTTAAGCAAATCCTTGCCGTTGTTAACTGAATCATGTGGCCGTTAGGTGAATCTGGCTTCTCCCGTGGACTTGGCTTGTTGGAAGCCAGCTGGGGAAGGTTGCAAATGACGATCACGTGACCCCAGGGACAGTGCAATTGTCATAAATACATGCCAGTTGCCAAGCACCCCAATTTTTGATGACGTGACCGTGGGGATGCTACGACAGTTGTTAACGGTGGAAACCGTCATAAGTCACTTTTTTTTCCAGTGGGGTTGTAACTTTGAATGGTCACTAAATGAATGGTTGTAAGTCCAGGACTATCTGTACATCAGAAGGACCAGCTTTATAACTGTCAGAGGAAAAGAAGGGGGGACTAATATCGTAAGAGAGGAAGAAAACCATTTTAACATCAGAGACAAGACTAGGTAGGTGGGTGGTTGAAGGCAGGAAATATGGGCCAGCAAGGTCTACAAGGGATGGCACTACCCTTTTGCCCTGCTTTTGAATGAAAATCAGGCATAATAATAATAATAATAATAATAATAATAATAATAATAATAATAATAATAATAATAATAATAATAATAATAATAATAATAATAATAATAATAATAANTCATCTAGTCCAACCCCCTGCTCAGGCAGGAAACCCTATACCATTTTGGACAAATGGCTGTCCAGTCTCTTCTTAAAAACTTCCAGTGTTGGAGCATTCACCGCTTCTGGAGGCAGGTTGTTCCACTGGTTAATTGTTCTAACTGTCAGGAAGTTTCTCCTTAGTTCTAGGTTGCTTCTCTCCTTGATCAGTTTCCATCTGTTGCTTCTTGTCCTGCCTTCAGGCGCTTTGGAGAATAGCTTGACTCCCTCTTCTTTGTGGCAGCCCCTGAGATATATTGGAGCACTGCTATCATGTCTCCCCTGGTCCTTCTCTTCATTAAACTAGACATACCCAATTCTTCTTTGGTTGCACTGAGGTGCAGATCATGAGGGCCAAAATGCGGTGAGAAGGTGATGCATTCAGTTTCACAACTTTTCTCCATACAAAAAGGAAACGCTCTTTGCCAGCAATAGAGTTGAGAGTTTCACATTACAGTTGGATATTGTTAGACTTGTGTAATTTGCAACTGCTCCGTAAATAAGGTTGACTCGGTGTTGAGCGTAGTAGTTGAAGAACCTGCTTTCTTTTGCGGAAACAAGTTTCTAGCCCCTAAGATTTCACAAAGCTTGTGTATACGTTATTGTTTTGTTAAGTTTCTAGTCTGCTTTTCCTCCAGAGGCTTTTGATTCTCAGAAGGAAGTGAAGGCGCATATAAGGCTGCTGGAATTGGGTGTGTCTAGTTTAACGAAGAGAAGGACGAGGGGGGACATGATAGCCGTGTTCCAGTATCTCAGGGGCTGCCCCAAAGAAGAGGGAGTCAAGCTATTCTCCAAAGTGCCTGAAGGCAGGATAAGAAGCAATGGATGGAAACTAATCAAGGAGAGAAGCAACCTAGAACTAAGGAGAAACTTCCTGACAGTTAGAACAATTAACCAGTGGAACAACCTGCCTCCAGAAGTTGTGAATGCTCCAACACTGGAAGTTTTTAAGAAGAGACTGGACAGCCATTTGTCTGAAATGGTATATAGGGTTTCCTGCCTGAGCAGGGGGTTGGACTAGATGACCTCCAAGGTCCCTTCCAACTTTAGTACTACTACTACTACTACTACTACTACTACTGCTGCTGCTGCTGCTGTTGTTGTTGTTGTTGTTGTTGTTGTTGTTATTATTATTATTATTATTATTATTATTATTATTACTATGAACAACCTGCCCTAGAGCCGGACATGACTGGACATGGGAAAGCTTTAACTTTACCTTTACACAGCACCGGTGTGTGCAATGCTTTGTTTCTTGCTATGCCAGGGGGAAACCCTTTCCTAGTAGCATCAGCTACCCACCCTACCCCACAACTCATGGTACCATCTGAGGATAACTCACTTGCACTCCTTCTGTGGGGCGCAGTCAAATCCATCGTACAGGCACTCCTCGTTGTCACAGGGGGGCTGGCAGTGCCCATCTCGGAAAACCCGCTGGCAGAGGTCCCGCTTCAGGCAGTTCTTCCAAGGATCGAGCAACCCCAGGGCACAGTCTCCCCCATCCCAGCTGGTCTCCGGAGAGCTGCAGATCCGGTCACAGTGGGCATCTCCTGCCAAGGATGGGCACCTGGAGAGCATGGTGGCATTGGCAGCAGGGCAGGGGGCTGAGGAACATGGAGGCTGGTGGCAGTCAAGCCCAGAGAAGCCTTCCTTGCAGAGACATCGAGGTCCAGACGGGCGGGCAACGCAAGTGCCTCCATTGTGACAGTAGGAGGACCCACACGGTGGTGCGGGCAGATCACAAGTCGATCCATCGTAACCCTGGGGGGTAGAGGGGATCCTTTCTCAGTCTTGCTGGGGTATTTTCATTCACGTCACTGGCAACAGGGTGGCACCTCAGAATTTTTTCCCATTTAGCTCTTGGGGGGTGGGGGGGATGCAGAAGCAACCTTATGCTAGATCAGATGCTTGGCCCGTTCAACCAAAAAACATCCTGTCTTCTTACCAAACATTTACTCAGCATTCCCTAAGCTTAGACCTCTGGGTGATGAAATCTCAGAATGAAATTTGACATAGAGAAAAGCAAGGCCTTACACCAGGAGTGTCAAACTCAATTTCATTGAGGGCTGCATCAGCATTGCAGTTGCCCTCAGGGGGCCAGGTGGGTGCTGCCAGGGTGGGTGCTGCCTACTGGGTGGGCGTGGATAGAGTGGGTGTGGCCTACTGGGTGGGTGTGGCCAGCTCTACATCGTTCGGGTCAAGGGTGTCTATGGGGGCCTGGGCAGGAGTGGGACAGATCTGAGGGTCTCTGGCAGAAGGGGGTGGGACCAGGGCAAGTGCCAAGGCATGGTCCACTGGAGGAGCCTCACTGTTCCTCTCAGGCCATGCAAGGGGGGGGGCTTATGGAGCTAAGCCTGAATGCGTTTCAGCATAGATGGCCATCACAAAATTGTATATTGGCTCCCGGAGGGCCTGGGCCAGGACCAAGGCAGAGGGGACCGTTCCTTCACTGTTTCCAGGATGGCTTCACGGGCCACATGAAACCACTTCGTGGGCTGCATCCGGCCCCCGGGCCTTGTGTTTGACATTTCTGCCTTACACTTAGGCAAAAAACTCCCAAAAATACAGGTACAGACTAGGTCAGTGATGGTGAACCTTTTAGAGACCGAGTGCCCAAACTACAACCCAAAACCCATTTATGGATCGTTGGGTGCCGGGTGGGCGTGGCCCATGGGGTGGGCATGGCCCATGGGGTGGGCGTTGCTGCGGTGGTAACGGCAGACTGGGTGGGACTAAAAAGTCAATCAATCAATTCCAACTTTGCGAGGTCTTCCCCCCCTGCAAGAAGTTAAAATTGATTGATTGATTGAACCTTTTTTTTTTTTTTGCAGACGGCGGCGGAGGCCTAAAGCAAAAAGGTTTTATAAAACCCAGCTAAAGGCCTAGGACTGGGGCGACGGTGCGTGTGCCCACAGAGAGGGCTCTGCATGCCACCTGTGGCACGCGTGACATAGGTTCGCCACCACTGAACTAGGTGAAACCTGGCTCAATAGTAGTAGCTGAAAGAGGGATCTTGGAGAGCCTTAGTGGACAACTATCTAAATATGAGCCAGCAGTGTGCAGCGGCAGCCAAAAAAGCCAATGCAATCCTCGGTTGCATTAACAGAGGAATAGAATCAAGATCACGCGAAGTCTTAGTACCACTTTATAAAGCCCTAAAGACCACCCTTAAAATATTGCATCCAGTTTGGATCACCCCCAATACAAAAAAAGATGTTGAGATTTTGGAAAGAGTTCAGAGAAGAGCAACAAAGGATGATTAGAGGGCTGGAAGCTAAAACACACGAAGAACGATTGCAGGAACTGGGTATACCTATTCTAGTGAAAAGAAGGACCAGGGGTGACATGATAGCAGTCTTCCAATACTTGAAGGGCTGCCACAAGGAAGAGGGGGCCAACTTATTTAACCAAAGCACCAGAAGGCAAAACAAGAAACAATGGATGGAAACCAATCAAGGAGAGAAGCAACTTGGAACTCAGGAGAAAATTCCTAATGGTGAGAACAATCAATCAGTGGAACAAATTGCCTTCGGACGTTGTGGGTATCCCATCAATGGAGGCTTGTAAGAAGAGACTGGAGAGCCATTTGTCAGAAATAATATAAGTCTCCTGCGTGAACAGAAGATTTGACGAGAATGTCAGGGGTAGCAACCTTGGCTCTTTTATGATTCGTGGACTTCAACTCCCAGAATTCCTGAGCCAGCCATGCTGGCTCAGGAATTCTGGGAGTTGAAGTTCACGAGTCATAAAAGAGCCAAGGTTGCCTACCCCTGGACTAGATGATCTCTATGATTCCTTCCAACTCTGTTACTACTATTGTTACTGTTATTGTTGAACAGCTGCCATCATTCCCAGTCAGCATAGATGTGAGACCATGTGACTAAGAAAGTAGGGAACTAGAGTCCAAAATATTTAGTAGGCATCTGGTGAAGCTTCGTTTGAGAAAGTGGTCCTTCCCAGTTCTGTGTGTTCAATGGCCATCAACCTTGTCTTTTGAAGGGTTTTTTGTTTCACCTCCCTCCTTCCATGGTTTTGCTCATTAATCTCCATCTGGTCCTCAGTGTTAATTAACAAAAGTCAACCACCCAGGAAAAATTTCATTAGCAAGCAGAATTAGTCATTATTTATATCCGTCTGGGTAAGGATGGGACCTGGACTGTTTTGTTTGAGCAAAAAGGATGCTAGAAAATACTCTTATGAACTACTGACAGGGTCCACACAACGTGCTTAGCCCTAAACCCAGATTATCCAAACAACATAGCTGTGTTCATATCCACATTATGCCCAAACAAATGTTGTGAATTTGTTTGGCATTCTTGCATGATGTCTTACGAGATTTTGGAATTTTAAGAGATTTCATTGATTTACAGTATGTCTCAGCGATTGACTGGGCCTCTTGCAAGCTTGATGAAAAATTACTAATTTTGTATTAAACTTTAACCTACACCTACCCCAGTGATGGAGCACCCACAACTTCTGGAGGCCAGTCGTTCCACTGATTAATTTGTTCTCACTGTCAGGAAATTTCTCCACAGTTCTAGCTTTCCTTCGTAGGTTTCCATCCATTGTGTCTCGTCCTGTCTTCAGATGCTTTGGAGAATAGCTTGACCACCTCTTCTTAGTAGTAGTAGATTACAGGAGGAATAGATCAGACATTCAGTCCCTGATTCTCAGCAGAGACTGTGTGGAGCGGGTGGCAAGCTTTAGGTTTCTGGGTGTTACCATAAAGGAGGACCTGACCTGGAGTGCTCATGTTATAGCATTAGTTAAGAAGGCCCAGCAGAGATTATATTTCTTAAGACTTCTCAGGAAACAACAACTGAATGAAAAACTGCTGATGAACTTCTACCATTGCTCCATAGAGAGCATTCTAACCTATTGCATTTATGTGTGGTATGCTTGCTGCACAGTAGCAGATAGGAAAGCGCTCCAGAGGATCATTACCATCGCCCAGAGGATTATTGGCTGCCCTCTCCTTCCTCCACCCATCGATGAACTGTACAGTTCCCGTTGTCTTAGGAAAGCTCAAAATATTCTTAAAGACTCATCTCATCCCGGACATTCTTTTTTTGAACTATTACCATCTGGCAGATGGTACAGGATAATCAAAACAAAGACAAATAGGCTGAAAAATAGTTTTTATCCCAGAGCTGTAACCATATTAAATATCACTGTATATACTGTAGTGCAACATTGAAGTGCAATATTAGCGGCAGTGCAATGGTGAATAGAATGTGAAGGATGTGTGTATATAACGTATGTTCTTATTTGTGGTTTTTACTTGTGTGTAGTGTGCACTGTGGATAGCACTTAATTTCATTGTGAGTTACGCAATGACAATACAGATATTCTGTTCTGTTCTACTCTACTCTATTCTACTGTACTGTACTCTGTTCTATTCTGTTCTGTTCTGTTCTGCTATGTTCTGCTCTGTTCTGCTCTACTCTACTCTACTCTATTCTACTGTACGCTGTTCCATTCTATTCTATTCTATTCTATTCTATTCTATTCTATTCTATTCTATTCTATTCTATTCTTTGTGGCAGCCCCTCAAATATTGGAAGACTTCTGCTCTTCAATCCTACTTTTTTTTGACTCAACCCCATTCATACCTGTGGACAATGGCAGATGAATTCAAGAGAGTTCTCGGGCAGCACGCTGCAGCTTCCACCATTAAGGCAAGGATTTGATTGGCAACTGTCAATCAAAGATTCACACATACGTCCTGGAGGGAAGAACAAACACAGTCCCAAAGGGGACAGAGTTCATTTTAATTTTCACTTCAGTTGTTGGTTTCTTCTTTGCAATCTACCAGCGATGTCCCTTTCTTTTGTAAAACCTTCAGCAATGGATGTTAGCAGTTTCTGCCACAAGGTTAGTTTCTGACAATTTGTAGGTAATTCTCAACTTACCACCACAGTGGATCTCAAATTTTGGTTGCTAAGCAACATAGTTATTAGGTAGGTTTTGCTCATTTTAGGACCTTTCTTGCCATAGTTGTGAAGTGAATCACTGCAGTTGTTGAATTAACACGGTTCTTAAGTGAATCTGGCTTCCCCATGGACTTTGCTGGTCATAAGGTCACAAAAGGTGATCGCTTGACCCCGGGACACTGCAACCGTCATAAATATGAGCCAGTTGCCAAGAGTCCAAATTTTGATCACATGACTTTGATGATGCTTCAGCAGTTATAAGTGTGAAAAATAGTCAAAAGTTACTCTTTTCAGTGTTGTTGCAACTTTTAAGGATCACTAAACGAATGATTACAAGTCAAAGATTACTTGTACTAACTTACTGCTTTGACAATATACAACAAGAACAGCTGGAATTTGACATACACAGTTACTGTGGGAATCGATATTATTTTGGGTGAAAAAGTATAGGTAAACCTTGACTTACAATTATGGTGGAACCTGCCTATCGTGGAAACAAGTGACAGTCGTAAAGCAGGTCACCTATGTTGACTGACTTGATTTTATCACTTTTTTGTGGCAGTTGTCAAGCAAACACCACAGTCATCAAGCAGATGCCACGTTCTTCAAGGGAGCACCGCAGTCATCAAGTGCTCATCATTGTTCGGTATGGGCCAGTTTTGCCAAAAGGCTGGAGCCATGTTGGTGCAGTGGTTAGAATGCAGTATTGCAGGCTGACTCTGCCAATTGCCAGCAGTTCGATTCTGATCGGTTCAAGGTGGAATCAGCCTTCCATCCTTCCAAAGTTGATAAAATGAGGACCCAGATTGTTGGGGGGGGGCGATGTGTTGACTGTCATGGTTCCGACAGATGATACTCTTCAAAGAACTTTGAGGCATTGTTTACCTTAAAGAATCTTTATTCAAGTAGCATGGCATCGGCACGTACATGGTCGAAGCCAAAATCTGAATTCCCCTCCCCTAAACACATAGTATCAAAGCACAATTCCCTCCTCCAATTATCAGTCATAAATCACATTCTCCAATTAGTTTGAAATGCAAACCTTCCCTCCATTTCTCTAACCCGCCATTTCTTATCATCTCTTATTTCAAACAACCTTGAAGAATACTCTACTGCGATGTTGTTGTGTCTAACTAATCCCCATACACATTCTTCCCCCTGCCCCCCCCAGCATCATCTAATTCTAACTCTAAAAGTAACACACAGGTTAAAGAGAAAATGGCTGCATCTTCATATATTGTCAAAGCAAGAAACTCCGATATTAGCAGCATTGACATTGACTCTGTACATCGCTTAGAGAGGGCTATTAAAAAACTTTGAAGCAGCATATAAGTGCTAAGTGCTAAATGCCACTTTTGGCAAAACTATTGTAAAATGCAGTCATGTAACGGTCATAAATGTGAGCCAGCTACTGAGCACTCTCACTTTTAAGAGCTATAGTGGTGCAGTGGTTAGAATGCCATATTGCAGGCTAATTCTGCCGACTGCCAGCAGTTCGATTCTGACCAGCTCAAAGCTGACTCAGCCTTTCATCCTTCCAAGATCCATAAAATCCATAAAATGAGGACTCGGATTCTTAAGGGACAATAATCTGACTGGTTAGATAGGGCTGTAAAGCACTATGAAGTGGTATATAGGTTTAAGTGCTGTTGCTATAGTACTGTTACCTTACCTGAATATCCAGGGTTGCAGAGACAATGGAAACCATGTTCATCAGATTGGCAGCTCTGGGACCCGGGCCGGTGGCAAGGCTGGGAGAAGCAGGCATCCACCACCCCCTGACACCTCTCTCCCACATATCCAGGGGGGCAGATGCACAAAAACCCCTCAGGCTGAGCCATGCAGGTCCCGCCATAGTAGCAGGGGGGGCTGGCTAGAGAGCAGGGATCCAGGTGACAATTGGGTCCTGGAAGGACAAAAAGAACGGTCAGACTGCTGTGTCCTTCGCCCACCCAGTCAACCTCACCAGCTTTCATTTTGCTTTAGGCAAAAGGTCCTTTCAGTTAAAATGATGAGAGGCTGGGTTGAGAGAAGCAGTGTGGGTCCAAACTTCCCCAGCTGGGGAATTCTGGGAGTTGAAGTCCACACAGCTTAAAGCAGCTGAGGCTGAGAGACACTGGATTAGAGTCATTCTTCGTGCTGGATCACACAACTGTGCTGCAAGTTTGGACACTGTGCTGATCACCCCAATAAATCATTGTGGATGGATACAAAATACTTGTAGCCATAACAGTTCGACTATTGGTGATATATCCCCGTCTGGGGAGCTTCCCACTCGGGTTGACTCTTTCGTATTTTGGGGGGCACACCCCATTTTCCTTGGGCTGACATAGCAACTCCTTCCCAGCATCATATGCCATTTAGGACCATAGAATTTATTATCTTAGTGTGGGATGTTCCACCTGGGACCTGCCCCCCGCCAAGCTTTCTGCCACTTTGATTGTTGGAATCAGTTCTGATTGTTCCTGGCTGTGTGTGTTTTGCTCGGGTTTACACAGTTCTCCCCCCTCACCTTTTGTTCCTGGCGGACATAAGCATTGAAAACCGTCTGTCATCTTGGTACAGCTTCCTCCATTTAGGCACTTTTGTGTCGGCGGGCACTGGAAGGAGAAGAGTTGTCAACGGATTCATCACTACTGTATTACAAATGAAAAGGTCACCAAGAGGTGATCTTCTCACTTTGTTTTTTTGGGGGGGGATTTAGAGTTTACCGCAGCACAGCAACGGTCATCTCTGCTCCAAAGAATGCCTCAATTGGCTGCCGATTTCACTACAAGCGGTTAGATCAGAGTATGTGTAGTCCCTGACTTACGACTGATTGCTTAGTGACTGAAATTATGATGGATTCCCTGGAGCTATTTACAATGCAGTTTCTGAGTTCTGGTGACCACCCCTGGATGGTCACATGATCGCATTTTGGGCCCTTGGCAACCAGCCCACTTTTACAGCCATTTGCACTGTCCTGTGGTGATGTCATCGTGATTTACAGGGTTTTTTTTGTCAGAAATCAGGGTTCACCTCCGATTCCTGGGAAAAAGTGCCCATTGGGGAAAATGGATTTGATTTATAACAGCAATGTTCACTTAACGACCACTGCAAAAAAAAGTCATAAAATCAGGCACGTTCACCTGTTGACCCACTTAACAACTGCCATAACTTACAAGTACAATTCCAGGCTCATCTATGAAAAAACCAAATGTACAGGTATAGTATAGGGGATACCTGGCTCAATAGTAGTAACTGTGAGAGGGACCTCGGAGTCCTAGTGGACAATCACTTAAATATGAGCCAGCAGTGTGCTGCAGCTGCCAAAAAGGTCAACACAGTGCTAGGCTGCATTAACAGAGGGATAGAACCAAGATCACGTGAAGTGTTAATATCACTTTACAATGCCTTGGTAAGGCCACACTTGGAATATTGCATCCAGTTTTGGTCACCAGGATGTAAAAAAGATGTTGAGACTCTAGAAAGAGTACAGAGAAGAGCAACAAAGATGATTAGGGGACTGGAGGCTAAAACATATAAGGAATGGTTGCTGGAATTGGATATGTCTAATTTAATGAAGAGAAGGACGAGGGGGGATATGATAGCAGTCTTCCAATATCTCAGGGGCTGCCACAAAGAAGAGGGAGTCAAGCTATTCTCCAAAGCACCTGAAGGCAGGACAAGGAGCAATGGGTGGAAACTGACCAAAGAGAGAAGCAACCTAGAATTAAGGAGAAATTTCCTGTCAGTTAGAACAATTAACCAGTGGAACAACCTGCCTCCAGAAGCGGTGAATGCTCCAACACTGGAATTTTTTAAGAAGAGATTGGACAGCCATTTGTCCGAAATGGTATAGGGTTTCCTGCCTGAGCTTGGGGTTGGACTAGATGACCTCCAACGTCTCTTCCAACTTTATTATTATTATTATTATTATTATTATTATTATTATTATTATTATTATTATTATGGTCGTAAGTTGAGGACTATCTATAAGCAAGCTGTGCCTTCTGCTATAAAAGTAGTCTTCGACTTACAACAGTTCATTTAGTGACAGTTCAAAGTTACAACCATACTGAAAAAATGTGACTTGTGACTGTTTTTCACACTTACAACCACTGCAGCATCCCCAGGGTCACGTGATCAAAATCCAGACGCTTGGCAACTGACTCATATTTATGACCGTTGCAGTGTCCCCGAGGGGTCACGTGATCCCCTTTTGCGACCTTCTGACAAGCAAAGTCAATGGGGGAAGCCAGATTCACTTAGCAGCCGTGTTGCTAACTTAACAACTGCCGTGATTCACTTAACCACCGAGGCAAGGAAGGTCGTAAAATGGGGCAAAATTCACTTAACAAGAATTTCACTTAGCAACAGAAATCTGAGGCTCAATTGCGGTTGTATGTCGAGGACCACCTGTAGTAGTAATAAAATCCGAGAACCCCAGACTTGGGACCACACTATTTAAGCAAACAAGTCCAATTCAAGTATCACTTACGGAAATCTTGTCAGCTTCTCCACGAACACGTCCAGCCACGGAGATCCCTTTTCCCTTGGTGTTCGGTTCCTGTGTGGAACTGATCTTAGGATTCAGACGTTTTACCTAAAATTTAAGCCACATTGAGCAACACAAACGACTGGCGAGGCGATCAAGTCAGATACGAGGACTGAAAAATGAGGAAGTGGACATGTTCCCTGGGTGGAAGAGAGCAGGTGACACCGCCAACCTGTGCATTTTTTAACAGCAGCTGGCCTTGCAGATCAACATCAAAGGTTTTTGAATGGATTTCCATGCAATGGCATTTTCTCTGCTCGTTCCTGTTAAAAGGAAAGGGGATTCCCCCCCACCTCCTTGAGAGTTTAGATTAGATTGTTGTTGTTGTTAGTTGCAAAGTTGTGTCCGACCCATCGCGACCCCATGGACAACGTTCCTCCAGGCCTTCCTGTCCTCTACCAACTTCTGGAGTCCATTTAAGCTCACGTCTACTGCTTCAATGACTCCATCCAGCCACCTCATTCTCTGTCGTCCCCTTCTTCTATTCCCCTCAATCTTTCCCAGCATTAGGCTCTTCTCCAGTGAGTCCTTCCTTCTCATTAGGTGGCCAAAGTACTTGAATTTCCACTTCAGGATCTGGCCTTCTAAAGAGCAGTCGGGGTTGATCTCCTCTAGGACTGACCGGTTTGATCGCCTTGCGGTCCAGGGGACTCGCAGGAGTCTTCTCCAGCACCATAGTTCAAAGGCCTCAATTCTGTGGCACTCAGCCTTTCTTATGGTCCAACTTTCACATCCATACATTGCAACTAGGAAAACCATGGCCTCGACTATACGTACTTTTGTTGACAGGGTGATGTCTCTGCTTTTTAGTATGCTGTCTAGATTTGCCATAGCTTTCCTCCCCAGGAGCAAGCGTCTTTTAATTTCTTGGCTGCAGTCCCCATCTGGGGTGATCTTGGGGCCCAGGAAGTTAAAATCTGTCACTACCTCCATTTCTTCCCCATCTATTTGCCAGGAATTGAGATTAGATAACCTTTATTGTCATTTTTTACTGCGGGCACAACGGCACACATTAAAAATGAAATTTAGTTGCTTGCTCTCAAAGTGTTTTGAGGATCTGTCACAGTGATGGCGAAGCTATGACACGTGTGTCAGAAGTGACACACTACATTTTGGGTGGACGTGCCGACGATCACCAACAACCAACAGCGATTCTCAAAAGCACGTTCTCATGCAATTTTTGAAGGTTTGGAGGCTGTGGAAGAATGGGGTGCAGTCTTGTGTGGGTGCACTCCAGAGCCTCTGAAAATGATGTGAGAACGGCTTTGCACAATTTTTGGAGGCCACATGAAAATGGGGTGTGGTCCAGCACAGCCTTCAGACCCTCCAGAATTTGTGTGAGAGGACCATGTTCTCATGCAGCCTCCAGAGCCCTGAAAATGGATTTCTTTTAGCTATATATCATTCTTGTAATTGTTTGACATTTCTTTATATAGTACATAGCACCGCACGATTAGCTGTATTTTTTAAAAAATAAATGAATTTGTAAAGAATTCTCTTTGGTTTCGGGGGTGGGAATGACAAACCAGCAGTATTCCAAGTGTGGCCTTACCAAGTGATTATATACCACTCTATAACGCCTTGGTAAGGCCACGCTTGGAATACTGCATGCAGTTTTGGTCACCTCAATGTAAAAAAGATGCTGAGACTCTAGAAAGAGTACAGAGAAGAGCAACAAAGTTGATTAGGGGACTGGAGGCTAAAACATATAAGGAACGGTTGCTAGAATTGGATATGTGTAGTTTAATAAAGAGAAGGATGAGGGGGGACATGATAGCAGTGTTCCAATATCTCAGGGGCGGCCACAAAGAAGAGGGAGTCAAGCTATTCTCCAAGGCGCCTGAAGGCAGGACAAGAAGCAACGGATGGAAACTAATCAAGGAGAGAAGCAACCTAGAACTAAGGAGAAACTTCCTGACAGTTAGAACAATTAACCAGTGGAACAACCTGCCTCCAGAAATTGTGAATGCTCCAACACTGGAAGTTTTTAAGAAGAGACTGGACAGCCATTTGTCCGAAATGGTATAGGGTTTCCTGCCTGAGCAGGGGGACTAGATGACCTCCAGGATCTCTCCCAGCTCTGTTATTCTGTTAACCTTTGCGTTCTAAACTCACCTGGCAACCAGCTTCTGCGGTCCGGTCCGTGCAGTTGTCTCTGTTCTGATTGGCCCTCTGTTGGCATTGGGGGCCACCCCATCCTGGAGGGCAGAAACAGTGGGGTGCAGATTCCTTCACTCTGCATTGGCCTCCATTCTTGCAGGGATCTGTGGCACGTGGTAGAAAGGAACAGATTGGAAAACCCAAATAACAGGCATTTAGCTCAGGAAGGATTTTGAGATGCCACCTGCTCGTTCAGCAGCATTCTGTAAATTGCCCCAAATGTGGAATTTCGGCATCTGAGCCTTTCTCCTGGGTGACTAATGCAATAATAAGGAAAGTTTTACCTACTCTATTTCTTCCTCTTACGATGGGGTTAAAGATACAGGAGCAGAGAGGCCCAAAGGAACTTCCGGAATTCCCCAGCCAGCATGGAGCCGAGAGCCAACCATGCTTAAAAGTTGCCCGGTTTGAAAAACACTAACATTAAAGAAATACTCCAACAAACTTTGGGCTCCCACTTTTGCACTTTTTAATGTGTACTTTTGCAGGACAGGGACGTGTGAGAGAATCAACCAAGAGGATCTTTTAGAGATTGTGAAGAGCTGGTGCTGCTGGATACTCACAGTCCGAGCAAAGGTCCAGGGTAACCTGACATTTGAGTCCTGAATAGCCTCTGGGGCAGAGGCAGTGAAAACTACCAGGGCTGTTAAGGCAAGTTCCAGAATTCAAACAGGGGCTGGAAGAACATTCGTCCACCTCTGCATCGCACGCTGCCCCTGCGAGGGAGGGAAGAGTCAGTGATCCAGGGAGGAAGGGCGCAGTGGTGTTTTGAGAGCTGCTGGGCTGCCCAAAGGAGGAACTGAGGCTCAGACCGAGTTACCTACGTAGCCGCTGGGACAGACGCACTGGAAGGCTCCCTGGCGGCTCAAGCAAGTAGCCCTCTGGTGGCATGGGCTGGCATTGCAGGCATCCACCTCTGTGTCGCACTTCTGGCCGGTCCATCCAGGTGAACATATACAAATTGGCCTGGGAGAGAAGCGGAAGGGAGGCGGGGAGAGAGGGAATTGTTCGGCTTTGTTTCGTTTTTATATTTTATTTTTATTTTTATTTTTATTTTTATTTTTATTTTTATTTTTATTTTTATTTTTATTTTTATTTTTAATTTAATTTTATATTTCATTTCATTTCATTATTATATTATATTATTATATTATATTATATTATATTATATTATATTATATTATATTATATTATATTATATTATATTATATTATTATATTATATTATATTATATTAATTATATTATATTATATTATATTATATTATATTATATTATATTATATTATATTATATTATATTATATTATATTATATTATATTATATTATATTATATTATATTATTATATTATATTATATTATATTATATTATATTATATTATATTATATTATATTATATTATATTATTATATTATATTATATTATATTATTATCATATTATATTATATTATATTATCATATTATATTATCATATTATAATTATATTTTATCTATATTCTATATTTTAATTTTTATTTTTTATTTTATACTGTATTTTTATTTTATTATTTTATTTTATATTGTATTTTATTTATTTTATTAATTTCTATCTTTTATTTTATTTTATTACTTTATTTTATATTTTATTTCATTATTTTATTTTATATTTTATTATATTTTATTACAATACATAACATTGCATTACATTATATTTTTATATTATTTTTATATGTTTATATTATTTTTATATTCTTGTTATGTTCATATTTTATATTTTATTTTATTATTATTTTAATTTATATTACATTCTTGTATTATTTTATTTTTATTTTGTATTTTATTCTATTTTATATTGCATTGTATTTTTTATTTTATTATTTTATTTTATTTTTTAATATTTTATTTTGTTTTGTTTTATTTATTTTTGTTAGCATCTCATGGCTGTGGTAAACCCGAAATGGTCCTGCTTTGTATTGTTCCCGAGGAATTTTGTACTCTTCCTGCAGAACAACTACAGTCAAATCACAGCTTCACAGGCCAGGCTGGACAGGGAGTTTATGTGTCATTTGCAGGCCTTTATTAAATGCCGGCGTACTCCCCACTGCAACTTCCCTGACTTGCCTCATAACGTGATGCAAATTATGCAAATTAGTCATAGGCATCTGTGTAATTATGCCATGATGCAAATGATGTTAATTGACTCAAATGATTAAGTAGGCTATTTGCATAAAGAGGCTGCCATGCTAATGAAGGAAATTGTGAACAATAAGTTACATTTATTTTGCGTGGCTTTTTAAAGGACTTGACTGGACCGCTTGGGAATGCAGAGCGGCTCAGGTGCCCTTTTGGGGAATGGCTTGGATAGGTAGGCAGTCCTTGACTTACGACAACAGCTGGGACCCAAATGTCTATTGCTAAGCAAGGTGGTTGTTAATTGAGCCCGGCCCAATTTTATGACATTTCTGTCATGGCTGTTAAGTGAATCACTGCAGTTTTTAAGTGAACTGTGTGGGGGTTAAGCAAATCCTCCCGTGAGTTTTGCTTATCGGAAGCTGGCTGGGAAGTCATTAAATGGTGATCACGGGATCCCAGCACACGGAATACACGCCAGTTGCAAAGCGCCTGGAGTTTCATCACATGACTGCAGGGATGCTGCAATATATATATGTATATATTCGTGCTGTTGGATTCTTGTATAAATTAACGGTCTTAATTTGAAGGAGGTGATCTATAAAAGTTTGATAATGTTCTAGTTCTCATGAAGTTAGAAGGAAGGAGGGAAGAACTGCGCTGAGACTTGCAAGGTTCTTTTATTATAACCTTACAATAAAAGTGTCTCTGGAGATTCTCAGTTATCCAGGTCCTGGTTGTCCCAAAGGGTGCTTTTTTCACAAGGCAACTGGGCTTCCTTATTTTTGATTGAAGACGTTTCACTTCTCATCCAAGTAGATTCTTGTCGGAGTTGAAGAAGCTTCCTGGATGAGAAGCGAAACGTCTTCAAAGAAAAACAAGAAAGTCCAGTTGCCTCCTGAAAAAAGCCCTTTGGGGATTATAATAAAAGTATATTTATTTTATTTCACTAAAATTAAATTTATATTTACATGCACGACTTTGGTTTCGTGGTCTGGTCCACTCTGAAGAACTGACGGATCCATCCTTACCCGGATTCTGTTCCGCGACAACTGCCTCCATGAAGACACTGAAACTCCCAACAAGGGTCACTGAATTCCTTGCAGAGGGGTCCTGTGAATCCCGGAGCACAAACGCAGGTGAAGGAGCCGGGGACATTCACACAGGTTCCATGCTGGCAAGGGTCACCGTGACAGAAATCAGCATCTCTCTCGCACCGAAGTCCTTCGAAACCTGGGGACAAAGTCTTGACACCGTCAATCTTCTTCGGCCTTTTACCTTACCCTTATGTATTCTAGAGCTTATCCTGCACCAACTCAGAAAGCTCAGACGGCCCCAATTTTGATCACGTGACCACGGGGATGCTGCAACAGTCGTAAGGATGAAAAACAGTCATAAATCACTTTTTTCAATGCAGTTGTAGATTTGAATGGTCACCAAATGAATGGTTGTAAGTCAAGAACTGCCTGCTCTTTTCTTTGACTGCGTAGTTCTCATATAGATACATTTACTTTGGGGATCAGTGCAATGGAATTAGCTATAAGATGAGTGGCTATATAAATCTGTTAAATAAAAGCTTAACCCCAGCCAACCTTAGCCTTGATTTGTTCTATTAGAAAAAGTCTTAGTCACTCTAAGAGTGAGGCATTCAAATACTGCATCCAGTTTTGGTCACCGCGATGTAAAAAAGATGTTGAGACTCTAGAAAGAGTACAGAGAAGAGCAACCAAGATGATTAGGGGACTGGAGGCTAAAACATATAAGGAACGGTTGCTGGAATTGGGTATGTCTAGTAGTTTAATAAAGAGAAGGACGAGGGGGGACATGATAGCAGTGTTCCAATATCTCAGGGGTTGCCCCAAAGAAGAGGGAGTCAAGCTATTCTCCGAAGCGCCTGAAGGCAGGACAAGAAGCAACGGATGGAAACTAATCAAGGAGAGAAGCAACCTAGAACTAAGGAGAAACTTCCTGACAGTTAGAACAATTAACCAGTGGAACAACCAGCCTCCAGAAGCGGTGAATGCGCCAACACTGGAAGTTTTTAAGAAGAGACTGGACAGCCATTTTTCCGAAATGGTATAGGGTTTCCTGCCTGAGCAGGGGGTGGGACTTCCAACTTTTTTTTTTTTTATTATTATTATTATTATTATTATTATTATTATTATTATTATTATTATTATTATTATTATTATTATTATTGGCATCCAGGGTACAACTCTCTCCCTCTGTTTCCTGCCTTAAAATAGAAGGAGCTCTGTGACTTTTAGCCACAAAGCCACGTGCCACTAGCCACTGGCACTTAGCAATAGACTTATATACATAGTCCTTTACAGCCCTCTCTAAGCAGTTTTACAGAGTCAGCATATCGTCCCCCCCCCCTAACAATCTGGGTCCTCATTTTACCGACCTCGGAAGGATGGAAAGCTGAGTCAATCTTGAGCCGGTTAGAATCAAACTCCTGTCTATGGGCAGAGTTAGCCCGCAATACTGCATTCTAACCACTGCGTCACCGTGGCTCATACCACTAGCACTGATGATCCTTACTTTGGGCAATGAAACATCTGCAAGAAAACCCATCAATCTTAGAGAGCACCCAAGGGTCCCTCACTTCAATTCTAAGCTACAGCTGGTAGTGGGATTCAGTCAGTTCGCACCAGTTCGGCAGAACCGGTAGCTAATTTTTTGTTGCCCAGGCCCAGAACGGACTTCTGGAAGCGGCATCCACACAGAGAACCAGTTGTTCACCTATCTGAATCCCACCACTGGCTACAGCTGTTCTCCTTTATTGGTACAGAGCCCCGAAGTAGAGACTGGAGGATTCTAGACATCCCTGGGGATGCAGGTTGGATCTATGTGGTTGGGTACAAAGCTGGAAGATGGTGGCCTAAACAGGATGCTCCATAGGGAAGATGGAGGAATCAGTCCTCTTTGAACCATGTTTCTGGGATCTCTCTTCATGGTTCTCACTCACCAGGAGGACACAGGCAGGCGAAGCCATAGCTCTGGAGTACACAGGTTCCCCCGTTGAGGCAGCGGCCTTGGAGACACTCTTCAACTTCGCAGAACAGCCCGCTGAACCCTGTGTAAAGGAAAGATCTTAAGGCAGGGGTCCCCAACCCCCGGTCTGTGGACCAGTACTGGGCCACGGCATGCCAGTCCGCACAAACAAGCCAAGCCCCATCCACGGGATGCAGGCAGCACACAAAACCATACTCCCTCCGGTCCGTGGAAAAACCTCTCTCCACGGAACCAGTCCCTGGTGCCCAAAAGGTTGGGGACCTCTGTCTTAAGGGAACCAAGAAGAAGGAGGACCAAACAAGCATCTGTCAAATTGTTGTGCAGCATGCATGTCTATCAATTAAATCTGTAACGGGGAGCCATATTGTCTAGCAAAAAATCAGGAGCACTTTTTCTAACTAACCAGGTCATAAACTTCCATGTGTTGCAGCTTAAGCTTTACAGTAGTGGCCAGAATTGTGGAAACCTTTTGGAAAAAGTGTACTTTTGAGGTTTTATAGCTAATAGTATCACTTTCTTTTTGGAGTAGTACCATAAAATTATATATCAATGGAAAGATAATTTAATCAAGAATGTAATGCAACATAGTTTGTTCAATTATCTGTACTGTATTCTATGAACCGTTATAGCCAAATAACTAGAAAAAGGAAGCACAACTTGCTTAGGTTGATATCAGGCAGCTTTCCTTCATCTGATTGCAGCCAATGAGCATGAGTGTTTAGAGAGCCAATCTTGTTTTGGCAATGGGCCAATCAGATCACAGTTGGATTCAGTTATTGATGTCATGTATTGAAGCTGAGAGGAGGACATTTGTCAGTGTGTTATGTGATGGCTATCAAGTTGGTTGGGTTTTTTTGTGTTCTTTCATTTAGTGAGCTTGTAAAATGTAATAAAATTAAAGTAATGGTGCAAAGAGTTGACTGGTTGCCCAGAAAGCGATGTAAAATAGTATTATTAAGTGAACAAGGCTACAGTTATAAAGAAATTGGAAGAAAAATGGGTGGAAACTTAACCAAAGCTGGCATTTCTACTGTACACTTTTCCCAAAAGGTTTCCACAATTTTGGCCATTGGTGTATAATAAAAGCTTACTGAGTACAGTTAGGACCACAACTGAGCCCCAAATTTCTGTTATTAAGTGAGAAATTTGTTAAGTGACTTTTGCCCCATTTTGCGACCCTTCTTGCCACTGTTGTTAAGTGAATCACTGCAGTTGATAAGTTGTTAAGTGAATGTGGCCTCCCCCATTGACTTTGCTTGCCAAAAGTTTGCAAAAGGGGATCCTATGCCTGTGGGACACAGCAACGGTCATAAGTATGAACCAGCTGCCAAGCATTTGAATTTTGATCACATGATCATGGGGATGCTACAAAGGTCGTAAGTGTGACAAACGGTCAAAAGTCACTTTTTTTCAGTGTCGTCGTGACTTTGAACAGTCACTAAATAAACTGTTTTAAGTTGAGGACTTACAACTATAATTGAGCCTGGAATTACAGTCATATGTCATGCTGGTCGCTAAGCAGATCATCACATGACTAACCCTGATTTTACAGTGTCTGTTATTAAGCCAACAGGGTGGTCATTAAGCGAACATGGCAGTCATGAAGTGAACCCATTGCTCCCAATGGGCGTTCTTTGCAAGAAACCAGAAATAAACCCTGGGTTCCAGCAAAAAAAGTCATAAATCGGGGTCACATGACTGTGGATCAGCGCAAACAGCCATAATTGTGGGCAGGTTGCCAAGTGCCCAAAATATGATCATGTGACTGCACAGAGGGGGGGCAGACATCAAAACTCATAAGTACCTTTTTTGAGGTCCATTGTAACTGTGAATGGTTGCTAAGCAACCAGTTGTTAAATGAAGCCTATCTGTATTAAATGAAATTAAACATTTTAAGAAAAGCTTAATGCCTTCAAATAAAAGTATTAGTTCAGAAAAAGTGCTGCTCTGCTCCGATTTATTTATTATCTGTTCAAATAAATAAATAAATAAATAAAAAATCCATGAAATTTATCTGTATTTTGCCTAACCCAAGACTTACCGGATGGGCAGAGGCATTGGAAACGGTCCAGCAGGTCCAAGCAGGAAGCCCCGTTTTGACAAGGCTGGCTGAGGCACTCGTTGAGGTTAGATTCGCACCTGGAGCCTGTGTAACCCCTGAGGCAGGAGCAGGTGAACGAGCCGGGCGTATTGTAGCAGCTTCCTCTGTGTTCGCATGGGTTGCTCCCTGGAGCAGGAGAGAGGAAGAATCCAGAGAGAAAAACACCGGATCTCTCCAATTCTGACAACTTTATTTCAAGGAAAAAGTTTGCCAAACATTTTCCCCGGAAGAGATAGCATTTGAATCACATTCCACCACAAGAGGGCGGTGGTGCGTTGCAAAATTTGTCTCGGCACCTCTGCCTCGGTTTTGTTTGTGTTTTTTTTTGACTGAGGCAGCCTGAAGAGCAATTCAGAAATGTGCAGGTGTTTTGGTGACGCTTGATCCGATTCAGAAACAGGTAGTCCTCGTTTAGTGACGACCTCGTTTAGTGCCCATTCACAATGATGAAAAAGGTCACTTGGCAACCGATCCTTGCATTCAAAGACCTTTGCAGGTCTGTAAAGCAAAGGAAAGCTGAAGTAAGATGGTAAGCACAATCGAGGTTTCACTGAGCGACTGCTTTACTTAACGACCAAGTTGCTCATGCTAATGATGGTGGCTAAACGAGGACTACCTGTATTGCTCAGTTGTGGGAATTGGGGTTTTTTTTTTCCTCCCCAAGAACAATCACAATGGGTTGTGATACATATTGGACTGTGCTGCTGCTGCTGCTGCTGTTATTATATTATTATTATTGTTGTTGTTGTTGTTGTTATCCTTGGGATGGTGACATTGCTTGGTGGGTGTGTTTTTTTCTTTCATGAGTAGGCATCGGAATTTCATTTTAAAGTGTGCTATTGAATACACAACAAAGTGACAATAAAGATTATCTTATCTCATCTCACTTATCTTATCCTGCCCGACCAGATTCAACCCGGCATCTTAAATCTTAAATCTTAAATCTTAAATCTTAAATCTTAAATCTTAAATCTTAAATCTTAAATCTTAAATCTTAAATCTTAAATCTTAAATCTTGACCCTTATTCCCTCAGCCCATCTTACCCATCCGGCACTCGTCAATGTCTTCGTAGCACAGAGCTCCAGCATAACCCAGATGGCATGTGCAGATGGCATGACCAGTCTGGAGGTCCGTGTCACAGTGGGCATCAGGATGGCACGGATTGCTGAGGCAGGCATCAGGCAAGTGGCAAAGAAGCCCTGGAGAAGGAGATATGGAGGATAAGCAAAGCTGCCTCGTCTCCATCTTTCGGGGCCCTTCAGAATTAACACCAGCACTGCAGGCTTTGTGACCATATCCCCAAGCTCCACCCGAGGCTGTTATTTGAGATGTCAGAGAATGTTTACAGCAATACCAACAGCACTTAGACTTATATACCGCTTTACAGTGCTTTACAGCCCTCTCTAAGCAGTTTACAAGTTCAGCATATCGCTCCCCCCCCCCCAAGAATCTGGGTCCTCATTTTATCGGCCTCGGAAGGACGCAAGGCTGAGTCAACCTTGTGCTGGTGGGAATCAAACTGCCAAACTGCTGGCAGCCGGCAGTCACCAGAAGTAGCCTGCAGTACTGCATTCTAACCGCTGGGCCACCAGGGCTGTTATACAGATAGTTCTCCAGTTACCACCATAATGGAGCCTGCCTATCACGGTCATAACTCATAATTCGTGACAGACCTTAAAATGATGGTCATTAATTGAATGACATAGTAGTTAACTGAACCAATGGTTTGCCATGGGTGCACTTTTGGCAAAACCCTGAAGTAATGCTACTTTTTGGCAAAGCCATCGTAAAACGTGGTTATGTGACCATGCAAATGGCCATAAGTGCCCAAACTGCAGTTACATGACCATGGGGGGGGGGGGGCTTTAAATCTGGTATACCTCCCAGATAAGTCCCTCAGAAGTTTAAATGGTCGCTAAGCAAGTGGAGGTAAGTTGAGGACTACCCATACTTTAGTTTACACAAAGGACTCCAAACCTGGTGACTTTAAGACTTGTGGACTTCAACTCCCAGAATTCCTCAGCCAGCCATGGGGAATTCTGGGAGTTGAAGTCCACAAGTTTTAAAGTTGTTAACTTTGAAGACCCCCCCCCCTGGTTTATGAGATGGGAAAGGTCACTCGTGATCTATTGAGACAGGTCAGGCAATTCTGGTCACATGCATCAGTTGTGAATGATAAAACCTATTTCTCCTTTCCTGCTGTGGCCAAACCTCCTTCCCGCCATTCCCTTTGGAAGGGCGGAGAGCTACGTGCTTAGAAGAACAGGTGCTTCTCCTTCACGTCCGCCATATTCCAAGTCCAGTCCTTGCTATTTCTAGCCAACAACCTCTGAGAAAGATCCATACATTACATGGACTTGACTGACCAAATTAATTGATTGAGCAGTTGTGGTGTTCTATTTTTGGGCCATTTTAAATGGTTATGGCACTATGTTAATAAACAGTGCAATTTTGATCCAGAAAAAGAAAGATTAGAATGGCTTAGGAAGATTCTTCTGCAATAAGGCGAATGTCTTGCTGAGGTATTTTTAAATGCTTCTTCTATAAATCCAGAATTCAATATATATTTGGCATAGACAAAGAACCTTTGCAGATTTGCTTCTTTGTTTCTTGCTTGACTCTCACCTGTCCAGCCTTGGATGCAATGGCAGGTGTATGACCCAATACCATCCTGGCAGGTGCCTCCGTTGAGACACGGATGTCCTGCGCAGTCGTCTGGATTCACCTCGCAATACTGACCAGTGTAGCCTGTTGGAAGAACAGGAGGCAATAAACTTAGAGTCATTGTGGAGCAAACGAGACAGTGTCATCAGCAATGACAAGGGAGGCTTCTAAAGCAGTGGTTCTCAACCTTTTTAATGCCGCGACCCCAACCGGTCGTAAGTCGAGGACTAAACCGATCGTAAGTCGAGGACTAAACCGGTTGTAAGTCGAGGACTAAGCCGGTCGTAAGTCGAGGACTACCCAATTGGCCGTAAGTCGAGGACTATCCCTGCCCAGGAGCGCCGCGCATGCGTGGTTCCGCCCCCTGTGCCGGCCGAGGCGTAGCTGGCAAGCGGCAGCGACGGAGCAGGCCGACCACCAGCTGGCCCAGCCCAAGGGAGGTAAGGCACCCGCCGGAAAAGGGGGGAAAAAATGGCGGACAAAAAAATGGACAAAAAAAATGGCGGACAGCCTTGCTTGGCGACCCCCGTGAAATAGTCGATCGACCCCAAATGGGGTCCCGACCCACAGGTTGAGAACCACTGTTCTAGAGGAACCACTTGAGACCACACAACTCTTCCAGCCTCTCACTTCTTAGGGTACTTCCGCATCACACTGTTTCCAGTTCCTCAAATCCTCACACAACAATCTGAAAAAAGACTTGGGATCCTCTGCATGGCTGTTGACCTCAAAATGCTAAGTGGCAGGCATGTGTAGTGACTTCTTTGCAACTCACCCCCCCCCAAAAAACTACAGCCTAATGGCCATTAGAAGGGACATTTCCTGACCGCAAAGCCACCATTTGCCTGTTGCATTTAAAAAAATCTCTTAAAGACTCTGATCTTGAAATGGTAACATGGCAGGATTTTTGCAACTATTGGCATTGGCTTGAAACTCTTATACAGTTAGAGTACAGTGGAAGAGAAATCAGTCCCAACTCCGTTTCTGGGGCAAATTTGGGGAGAAAACTGTGGGGGGGGAAAAGAAGCATGATTTCATTTACACGGAGGAGGAGGAGGAGGAGGAGGAGGAGGAGGAGGAGGAGGAGAAGAACAACAACAACAACAACAACAATAACAACGACAACGAGGAGGAGGAGGAGGAGGAGGAGGAAGAGAAGGAGAAAATGGAGGAGGAGGAGGAGAAGAAGAAGAAGAAAAATAATAATAATAATAATAATAATAATAATAATAATAATAATAATAATAATAATAATAAGAAGAAGAAGAAGAAGAAGAAGAAGAAGAAGAAGAAGAAAATAATAATAATAATAATAATAATAATAATAAGAAGAAGAAGAAGAAGAAGAAGAAGAACAACAACAACAACAACAACAACAACAA